ATAAATTTGCTATAACGACTTAAATTACCTAGTATCGAATGTTTGTAAGTCCACCGAGACGTTTTTAATTTCACAGAATTTTGCCCGAAAGTCTTTAAACATGCCTCTAAAATGAAAAAGCACGTAACGAGGCTACCAAATAAAAAAAACACGTTTCATGTATTTATTACAAATCCTTTTCGACAGTGCAGGTGCAACGCAACGTACTATTATTAAATAAAATTGTAAGGACTATGGAGAAGTGCAAAATTGTCCAGTTTTGGTTAGGAACAGTATATATCCAGCTACAAGAACACCGTAGATCGACTGTTAATCAACTGCCCACTAAAGCAATTTTGTACCTCGGGTATTCTCTCGTCCTTCATTTCTACAGTTACGTACTTTACGGACACGTGAATGGGAACACGTCTAGTATAAGCGCATCCCCCAAGTGGAGAGAAAACAATGCCAATAAGCACCCCCCAAACACCTAAACTCGGACCTGTGGTAAAATGATCACCGCCCCGACGTGCTTCCAGGTGATCTCGTTTGTCCCGAAAGTCCTGCAGGACAGTAATCCTGCCTACGACTACGGTCCTCCTGGCCTTCCCTCTAGAGTCGTCTAACTAGATTCCTGCCTTCCATCTCCTTGGGCATCTCGTTCACATCAAATAGACGATAATAAGCCGAGAGAGCCGAGTATAATCGACTTCAAGCTTTCTGCTCTATTTATAATACTTGGTTGTCCTTTAAATTCCAGCCTCAAAGTATGCGGTTCGATCTCTCTGCGGATAGCGGCATCTTTATTCATCGATTTAACTGCGATTTCTTGTGAAGTAATTAATTCCGTTAAAATGACCGATTATTAAACTAATAACTAATGAATATGAAACTCAGCAGGGTCGAATCCTTTTCACCGATCGGTATCCACATTTACGCGTAATTCCTTTAGCCCTATCTCTATCTAAGATTCCGGCATCACCAGTACCATCTTCAGTACCTATACTGAGAAAAGGATGTCATTGAACCAAAGGAATATATCGTTAATTCAACAAAATGATTACCCGACTTAAATAGACTCGAATAAATTGGATGCAACGTTACGTCGGAACCGTGACAGTTAATTTAAGTTCATTTGAGTCATCAATTATTTATCGAATTAACAAAATATATCTTCGGTGGTATTCAAAGAAATATATTTTGCTTCGATGAGTTTCTTTTCCCCAATGAACGGGGCAATTCATCCAAGATCTCGCAGCCGTTCGAAGGCACCGATCGCGAGCAGCCAAGGGCATAAATAAGGCTATCGATTTATATAAACCAGGCGCCACTTAAACGCAGATGCAGCGATTCGCTCCCTACAGAGGGAGCACCTCGACCCATCTTTCCTGCGGCGGATTGCACCCAGCTCGGTGCATTCTTTTTCTCCCCGAGGGACGTCGCCCTGCAGGCGCAGCTGCAGGTGCACCGGCTCGGGGCATCCCTACTATTCCATCTAACAACCCGCGAAGTGCTGCCGTCTCCTTTGGGACTTATAAACAATTTAAGCCGGAACCCATCGAGCACAGCCGTCCTCTCTCGTATCGCGCGTAGGCGGACGAATTAACTTTCTTTCGCGAGCCGCGCAATCGAGCAATTTTTTATCGAGTTAGCGCGCAATGTACGTACGTCCACGTATATTCCCGGATACATCGCGGGGCATATCCAAGCGGAAGTTTCCAATTATCTCGGGCGGCCTCGCGATGGCTTTCTCGCCAGGCGGCAAAATATGCACGCATCCTGGCTTGAAAATGTTTTCCCTCGTATGAGCCCAGTGAAAGTACGCGAGGATTTCGAGTATAATGAGATTTTGAGATAGGAAGTCGCTAATGAAGCCGGTCTCACTTTTAACGCGCATTGTAATATCAAAGTTTACATATTTGACGTCCCACTTTTTATAAATGCAACGATGGAATTAACTCTTTAATACACGAGGTTTGTCCGGAAAGTAATGCAATTCTTTATTTTAACCAATTGATTTATTGTAGATATCGTTACGAAAGTTTAATAGTCTTCGAAGTAGTTCCCTTGGGCGTCTAAACTCTTTTTTTAGCGGCTCTGCCACGCACGGTAAGCGTTCTGGATGGAGACGTTCATGGTGGAGGCCCAGATAGTGGCGATCTCCTTTTTCACTCGGACGACCCTTTCTCGCGGTTTGTTTTGGGAATGTTGAGAGTTTCCGCAATCATCGGGACACACAACCGGCGGTGAGAAAAAACGCAACGGAAATACGCGAAACAGAGCAGTGCGTTTCGTTCGGACGAGCATTTTTCCTCGAGCCGAGTCCTAGATGCGTTAGCAGAGGCAACGTGGCCACGTTTTGATTTAGATTAACGAACCTGGCCGTGCCTTGAGAGCGGCCGACACGTCACGCACCCCGTCCGCCGAAACATAAACGAATATTTGCGACAACGTGCACGTATGAGCGAATGCGGACGCGCGCGAACTGGGGCATGATGTCGGGACTCGGTATTCAGGGCGTGGGTGAGCTTCAAAAAAGCACCGTCGAAATAAAGAGAGGAAATAGTTTTCCCGAAGATGCACGTACGTAAACAGGGGCCCGTGTGACAGAGGCAGGTACGTACACGCGTACACGCGGCGAGCACGTACCCAGCGAATAATTTACGGTTTCGAATTGAAGGCTGACGCGTCGCCCCTCTTCCAGCTCCCTCTCTTGTTGGGGTCGTCGGAGAGGTCCTGGCTCTATGCTTCGGAGGGTGCAGAGAAAAAGGGGCGAGTCGAGGCAGAAGAGGACGTGTCTTCTATGCCAGACCCGACTCGATCGTGTGTCGTAAGTCGAGGCGGTACTTTCTGCGTCCCTCGTTTTCGGACCTCCTATTCGGTCCATGAACAAGACCGTATAGAGTGTCGGGACGGAGCCTGGGGAGTCGCACCACGCTCGACAGACTGGCGGATCGTCGTTTTGCGTGGAATAATAAAAGCCCATGGTGACCGATCGTGACATCGGAAGTTACTTGGAGGGAGGAAGGAAATACCGCGTTGGGAGTGAGTTTCGAAAATGCGAGGAAGTTCTGCAAATTTGGATGCACTCGCGGGTGTAGATGCATGTGCGAATAGTACAGGCGACTTCCAATCGTGACGTTTTGTCAGGTTCTTGCCGCGAATCGCGGCTCTCTCGTGGAATAACAAAAGCCCATGGTGACCGATCGTGACATCGGAAGTTACTTCGAGGGAGGAGGGAAATATCGCGTTGGGCGTGAGTTTCGAAAATGCGAGAAGTTCTGCAAATTTGGATGCACTCGCGGGTGCAGATGCATGTGCAAATGGTAGAGGCGACCTCCAATCGTGACGTTTTGTCAGGTTCTTGCCGCGAATCGCGGCTCTCCGAGAGAGGATCCAGCATCCAAGGTCTGTGGGACTTCAGTTGTCAGCTCCAGAACAGGTGTAATTGGTGTGTCCGTGTCAAGCCGGTAACGAAGGGTAGGGACGAGGGGCACTCGGATCGGGTGAAATTCGGCAGTCGAATCGAATTATCGGAGTTAAGGCTTGTGCTCGGATAGACGATGGGGTAGTGTTGAAACGTATCCGACATCTCGATGGAGCGTTCACTTATCGACACAATAACGTTCCGCTATCAATGGAATGGAGTATACTATCGGCATTCAACCGATAATAAATATACCTACTCTATTAATTCTTAAAAAATATATGCTTCAACCCATGAGCACAATGACAACTCCTCTCAATAAAAGAAACGGATCTTCAATGTCATTTAATGAAATAGATCCAAGAAAAAGAAGTCGGCGCGAAGTCGGCCGTTAGAAGTGAAACTTCTATGTTAAAGAGAATAATGAGTTATTATTAATCCTTTGGCTGCGAAAAGAGTGTATGTACGTCCAACATTTGGTTCACTATTGCCTGTAAGGGTACATGAATTTCGCCCATGTGTCTTTCACGAAATGCCCTTACGAGTTTGGGACTGATTTTGGGCATAATTACTTATGAATTAATATATAAAGTTTCACTTTATATATTTTATATATATTTTTTTAGTGAACGCGATTAAAAGGGTATCCTTAACGGATAATCAATGCTTCCGAGCATACGTGATCGTGAATCTGGTAAACTGGTGAACAAATGGACGGGGAACGCGCCGACTCACATATGGAAACGTATCGATTACGGATCGAACGAGATTCGATATTCTCGACGAAAATTCCGATTTGGCTGCAGCTGATGCATTACGCTGCAGTTAGGAACCGCTTCCGTCAAGCGAGTGTTGCCGCATTGTAACTCATGCAAGAATATGAAATGCCAGTGTTGTGCGGTTTGCGTTATGGTGCCGATACGTTACGGTGAGTACCTTTACTCGCTCTGTCAGTCTGTCAAGTTAGGGATTTATTTCCGCTGTAAGTATCACGTATGACGTGGATTTATCTGACACGAGTCCCAGTCCGACCAGCCGCGGTTCAATTGTTACCATACGTTATTCAGGTCGTCTTGACTAATGTTCCAAGATAATTTTATGAGTGCTTAGAAATGGAGGAACGGGGAACATTGAATTACCCCCGAGAGATTGGCAGATCGTCGTTTTGGGTGAAATATTAAACCCCTGCAGCGAACGGTCGTGACTTCAAAACTGTCTGCCAGGAATACCAAAGATTCCCCTCGAGCTTGAAATTTGCGACCTCGAGTGTACTTGGATTTTTAGATCATGCAGACTCACGGAATTTTTCAGCTGTCAAAGACTATCGATCGCGACTAAATCATCTCTTCTTCGCGAATTTGAAATGATTTTCCATTTTGAAGAAAAATAGATTTCATGTGCAATACTCATCGGCTAGATTTATAATTCGTAGATTTTTTACGTAATTAGTACGCCTGCACATAGGATTCTGTAGTCGATTAATGGCTACATACGTGTACGCATATGGGGCACGTACAAAGTTTCGGTACAGTCCCGTAATTAAATCAAGCATCTCCTTCGTGGAGGTGGACAATTTGTTTATAAAGGTACTTACATATGACAGTGAGTCGTGCATTGGCCCGGATTGCTGGATTACTCAGGTATTGTCGTACTTGACACTGATATTCCCCGTCGTCGGTGAGCGAGGCGTTAGTAATCTTCAAGTTGTAAATATTTTGCGATTTGTTGCCGACAAGCCGCAAACGGGGATACCCGACAATGCTACCGTCTGAAACAAATACAATTTACCTTTTAATACCATGTATCATTGGGTTTCGTAAAAATAATTGGCGAAGGCATCGCTTTGAAGCTGAGAGTCCCCCCATCTAATCCAGAATTTAAATACCAGCACAAAAGAAATTGCATTACTTCCACTTTTGACATTACATTGAAATCAACGAATAGAAACCACTTACTTGGCTCGATGACATAGGCGAAGCCATCTTTGACCCACTGCACATCACCAGCTCTGTTGTCGATTTCGCAACGCAATGTTACTTCTCCGCCTTCCAGAACGGAACTGTTGGCCGGCTTCACTCTGAAGTATTGCGTGAGGTTCCCTGGAATCAGAAGAACGAGGAAGGTTAGTTATATCGAGCAATACCAAAACAAAGTGCCTGGTAGAAGGCGTTAAACATGTAAACATTAGAGAAATCCAATTCCATTCCGTAAAGGTAACACTGTAGAGTGAACGTTTACCGATCGGGATTACTACTCTACACCTCAACGGTACAGAATTGAACTTCAAGAAATCTTAACATTGCCTATAAACTCGTTCAACACCAACAAGGCATCATGTGCTAGATGGACGGTACTTAATAACAAGAAGGAAAAACAATTACAGCTCCGAATGGTGTAATCTTTTGACTCGCTAAAGGCGTATATGGATTTCTAGCATTTGGTCCATTATTGCCTGCACGCGTCCATGAATTTCGCCCATACGTCGAAAGGGCTCAGTAGTCAAAGGATTAAAACGGGTTAAAAGAATTCCCGTCGGATCAAAGCATCAAAAGTGGATTCCGGTTTTTCGTTAGATCGTTCCCGGCAATTTTCAAGCGATCTTAGCCTATTTTTGGCCGATCTTCTCCGAGGAAATGGAGAGATGGTGTATACAAGGATGCTCAAGCTCGTGTAAACGTTACGGCAGACCGTAGCACCCTCAACGCGGATCCATATCAGGAACGTGTGGCTCTTTCTATCGGATATACCCCTGCTCGAGGCGGTTATCGAAAGCGCAGAATATTTCCTCAGTCGCAAAGCAAGGCATGAGCCAGGTATTTTGCAGGAAATTGGAATAAGGATGCGCCCCGAATGAAGAAAGGACGAGATCTCTGGCGCTGGATGCGGAGGATCCGCTGAACAGGATGCGAAAGAGCCTTGCAATTTACTACAGGCTCCATGAAGACAATACTGAGATAATTGCGTCCCGGAGTTATTGTTAATATCTTCTACAGCGTGTCTTGTTTGATCGTGTTAACATGCAAAATCGTTCTATTGGCGGCGGCTACGAAATTGGATCAAGACGTTCGATTTACTGGGAGAACTGTTGCAATCGAGGCAAAATTTCTTGTAGTCCTTATCATTCCACGGATTGTTTCTGTACCGTTGTAACTCTCAAATATATGTTCCAATGAAACATGTATCAATTTTTGATTTTACACGTCGACTAAAGTGTTACGTGGTTAGAGGGTTGATCAATCTTCTTGGAGAACAGCCCGATAACTGGTAAACACTAACGTTTTACTTGGCTTAAGAAAGGTTGTAAAGACTTATTAGACTTTCCGTTTGTTGTCTTCTCAGTTCTCTACTCACGCGAAAGCAACGATATCCCACAATGATCGGCCGCTTAACCGGTAATCGGGACCCGCTCCAGTTTTGCGGAAATAAAAGCGAGACCACCGCTTCTTCCGTTGCTTCCCGAGACGAGTTTAACGATTAGAAGTAACGTCTCATTACCATTTCAGCTTGTAACCGAAGGGGGGTTCTTTCTTTTCTACCTCGGTTCGGCCTCGTAAGCGTCTGCGACCTCGACTTCCTGAATCCTCCCGGCTGCTCGGCGTCTCCTCTTTTTACATTTATCTCGCTCCCTCTCCCTTAATTTCCCGCAGCATCTTGCCGGCCCTCTCTCTCCCTCTCTGCTCCTTTCTCTCGGTCTCTTTCGGTCTCCTCTGCGAGGTAGAAAATGCAATTTCGGGCGTTACGGTAGCGTTTAATTCCCTTACGCCTTCTGCCGAGCGGTTCCTCGTCCGTACCCTCTTCTCCCGTCCTTTGTAACCTTTCTCAGCCCTCCTCGCCAATTCCCTCCGTAATCCACGATCCCATTTCGATTCATTCCTAGATAGGACTTAAGAGACATACAACGCGGCCCCGTCGTGGTGAGGGACCTATGTGGCTACCCGACTACTAAGCCACCCAGCTACGTATCGACGTTCCTACCTAACTAGGTAACTATCTTCGTACGTAATTACGTACCCCCTCGGTGCCGGATACCAGAACTGCCCTCGATGTGCCGCTCGATGCCGAGACATTCGGAAACGCTAGAATTTCGGAATTCGGGCCGTGATTCGAAATAAATTGCTACCAATGCTGCGATGGACCGAGTGGGAGCCATTTTGACAAAAAACTCTATCTGCAATATCGTAGCTCGGGGTGAACGCGGGAAAAAATATTGATGGTGCTCTGTGATGAAAAAATATTGATGGTGCCTTTGCTACTAGGGTCGGTTCTGTCATGGCCAAGAGTTTATTGGAACATTGAGCACGGCCGGATATCAAATATTTATTTTTTACGTGGCCAGATATTCACGAGCTGTACGTTTAAATTCCCATTTGAATTCGGAGAATTCTGAGGAATCGGGCAATATACGTTTCGAGGAAATCGGAATTCGGAAAAAATGTTAAGTCCTACGGTAACGCCAAATTCGAAGATAACTTATCGAATCTTTTGGCAGCTTTTTAATACAGTGAGTGAGTCGGTTATCTTTAGTAATGGAGTTACGATTTAACACCTAATCTTATAATGACAATTACTCTTGTTACCGTTCATTTTGGCCGGAATTTTCAATTTCAGGTCTGCGGAACGATTCCATAAAGGTACCTTTCATCTCAGAGAATGCACTCGCGAATCACGCGAGAAGAGGATGACGCCAAAGGGATGGCCGTATAGAGATGTACTAAGTGAAACGGATTTACTCGGATGCTAGGATCTGAAACCTGAATTCGTAAGTATGTAGAGGGAATACAGGTATCCAGAAAGCACTTTATCCGGATACATCCGAGCCCTGGATGCGATGGCTTCGCCGAGTGTTGCTCAAACGCGTTACACCGGCTCGGGACGATTCGTCGGTGTAAGTATACTTTGTATGCCACGGCGCCGATGAAAGAATAATTTATTTCCCAGCCTGGCAAACTCGCTGGCAGAGCCTCGATGAAGCCTCCTGGCAGAGCGGCTTTCGTCGCGTTTGTCCAAGTCTCTTCGAATATTCGATCGATATCTCACGGATTATGCGATGCGAGCGTCGGAACCGATCCAAACGACTCATTTGTAACGCGCCTGCATCCAATTTCTTTCCTGGGACCAATCATGCTGACAGATTAGAGGATCCTCACCGACGTCAAAAGCGCCAAGGTAGTACAATTCGAGACAAAGCCCAACATAAAGTCGATATGCCCTGGCTCAAAAATAAATGCAAGATAATAACTATAAAATTCACCTCAGAAGCGGTGAAACTCGTGAGGATCCTCGAATGCACTTTCCAGGCGAAGATTGTCTTCGATTAAAAAAAATGGAAAGGAATTTTGATAGGACACTCAGGGTCCATGTTTAAGCAGCACCTGGGGAATCTGGACTCGATTTGAAGAAGTCTCAAAAATAGTTGCACATGCACCGACCGAACAGGGCATCGAGCGAGCAGCCCCGGATACAGTTCCACGAGCCGGCGTTCCGCCCTCTCTCCGTCGGCGCATCCGCGGTAATGCGTCATTGTCGCAGACGTTCGATCATGATAAATGCGGGGTGCAATATGGGCGTTACAACTTGTCACAATTACCGCTGGTATGGCGCCGGATTTCCGCTCGCGGGGTGAGTTAGGTATGCGAGGGGCGCGTTATACAGGCGGTAAAACGAAATTTTCCCTCGCCGATAACGGCAGTTTTGCGTTAGCCCGAGTAACTTTAACGGCCATTTTACATTACTTCCTTCCCCGCTGCCCATCCCTCGGCTTTTCCGCTCAGCGGCCGGGCCGTTCAATTTTGCCGGTATTACCTCCTCCCGCGAAACCGCGCTCCCTAATAAACCGCGTTAAAAATCGATCTAGTCCCTTTCCGGGGAGCAGGATGGCGCGAAAACAAGGGGAGGGATTTTTGTCCGTTTTGTTTTCGGAACGATATCTCGGTATAAGTGGGATGAAAAAGAGAAAGCCGAAGGGAGGAAGCGAGGACCGGCCCCTGGTGGGGGAGTGTCGGTGCGCGGGTGCCGATAACGCGTTGATAACGCGCCTATCGTGCCGATCGCGCCCATCTCGCTCATCTGGTCTGCCGTCCATCGTGGGCACGGCTCGCATCGCGCCCATAGCGTCGAGAGACCCGATGAAAATGCAGAATCGAGCCTTTCAAAGCCCTCTGGCCTTCCCTCGCCGCGGCGCCGGTGGCCGTCGAGATTAGAGCGCGCGGGTTAAAATTTCGAGAGCCGTGGCCAGGAAAAATTAAAACGGCGAAGGGAAGAACGGACGGGGACGGAAAGAATCCCGGGGAGCGGGGAGCTCGGATTGCGGCGGCTTTTAGCCCCCGTTCGATCGCGGGCACCGGCCAAGAGCGCGCAAACAAAGAACCGCCACGGGACCGCATTACGCGCTGCTCCGAGCCAAGTGCAACAAGATGCATTCGATGCGCTCCGTCCGTCAGGCCGTTTAAAGTTTTCCCATTTCGCGGCGACCCGGGCCTCGTAATACGACGCTCGTCGCGCCGTCGCCGGCGACGCGCGTCGCGACGCCCTGCGATATCGGGCGCAGGGATTGCTGGGGATGCAGGCCTATGCAGGTGGCTGCAGTGCGCCGCGTCGACGGTGGTTTTCACCCTAGTTCTAGGGTTAAAACCACCGTCTAGGGTGAAAACCACTGGGTTTCAAATGGCCCATCCTATACAAATAAAAATCCGGTAGTTCTAGTGTTAAGCGACGAGGCGTACTCTCCTGTGGCTCTTTCGTTACTGTGGGGGACTATAATCGTCGGCCACGAAACACAGTTCATATGCTATGGGCAACTATGGTCGCCCACCATGAAATGCTGTTTATATACTACGGGCGACTATAGTCGCCTGCTATGAAACAAGGTTTATAAACCATGGGCAACTATAGTTTCTCGCCCCGAATCTGCCTTCGGTTATTATGGGCGATTTGAGTCGGTCGATGTGTATCACTTACTGAAATCATATGCAATGGTTGATGTCTTAACGTGTCGTTCATTATATACCATCTTTTTCGTATTTCATATATTAACGGTGGCAAGAATTGATGTAGAGAAAGGGTTAACGATGTTTCGTTATGGAGAAAACGCAGGACTAAC